GAATCCCATGGGTGAGGGCTCTAGAAGGTAGAGGGGTCCAAGAGAGCTGGTTAATATTCAAGCACCACTTCCTCCAGGCTCAAGATTGGTGCACCAGTACAGGTTAGGGATTGACCTGCTGGAAAGCAGCTCTGCAGAAAAGGACCCGCGAGTCCTGGTGGACAACTAGTTGACCATGAGGCAGCACTGTGTCCTTATGGCCAAGAAGGCCAATGGTATCCTGGGATGCACTAAAAAAAGTGCGGCCAGCAGGTCAAGGGAAGTTATCCTCCCCCGCTACTCTGCCATGGTGAGGCCACATCTGGAGTACTGTGTCCAGTTCTGGGCTCCCCAGTTCAAGAAAGGCAGGGAACTACTTGTAGAGAGTCCAGCGGAGGACTACAAAGATTATCAGGGGTCTGGAGCACGTCTCTTATGAGGAGAGGCTGAGAGACCTGTGTGTGTTAAGCCGGGAGAAGAGAAGACTGAGAAGGGATCTCATCAATGCTTATAAATACCTAAAGGGCGAATGTCAAGAGGATGGGCCCAGACTGTTTTCAGTTGTGCCCAGCAACAGGACACATGGTAATGGGCACAAACTGGAACACAGAAAGTTCCATCTGAACATGAGGAAAAACTTCTTTACTTTGAGGGTGAGAGAACACTGGAACAGGCTGCCCAGAGAGACTGTGGAGTCTCCTTCTCTGGAGATATTCAAAGGCCGCCTGGACACAATCCTGTCCAGGTGAACCTGCTTCGGCAGTGGGGTTGGACTAGATGATCTGTAGAGTTCCCTTCCAACCCCTACCATTCTGTGATTCTGTAATTCTTGGAGGTTATAGCCTGATCCTCTCAAGTCATCATCACTGCTGTAAGGGGAAAAAAAAAGTATCTATTTTTCCAGTCCTGTAGTGTTTCTTATCAAAGGTAGCAAAGCTTGTTTTGTAATAATGCTATGGGAAGGACATTATTGCATGCTAAGGGCAAAGTCTGATGGATTTGAAAGCTTGGTTAAGTGATAGGAAAAAGATGATAATGAACAACCGCTTATCAAGGCTCCAGGAAGATTAATCTGGACGTGTGCCCAAGGCACCAGTAACAAAATCAGTGTACACGTTTTAGCTAACGATCTGGAAGAGAAAACATGGGGTGCTTCAGCGTGGTTTCTGTTGACATAGGAAATTGGCTTTGTAAGGTCCTGATCAGAGGGCAAAGGGGGGAAGTGCAACATCTGCTTATCTCCTGTGAAACCAGAATGCCTTTTAGCCATGAGTAAACCTGCTGATGTCAGTGAACCTCTGACGCGCTAGAAGGCAGCCAGTCCTGGTACCTCCGGTGCTTTGCTGAATCAGGAGCCGGGTGTGTGGCCTCTGTCACTGGCTGGGTTTGTGCGGGGGAAGATAAAAAAAACAAAACAACATTTCAACTTCTGGCGCCTTCTGGACTGCAGAAGCTCGGCTGGAACTGATGGCCCTGTGTGCAGTGTGCTGCGGGGAGACCGTGTTGCCTGCGGGGGCCATGTGCTCGACACGGGACCGCACAGCAAGTCAGGTACAGCCCTGATGCACCTGTGGCATGCCCATCTCCCATGTGCGGTGGGTACATCTCCCAAGCCTGCCGTGGATGAGGTATAGAGTGCACATATACATATTTCTGCTTGGAAAACCCGAGGGGAAATGGGCTAATCCTGTGTCT